CTCTCTCTCTCTCTCTGAAAGTATGCTACCTGTTCAAATTTCCTGGACTCATTCACAGAGCCATGTGTCCTTCCTGGATCATGCAATATTAAGCACAGCTATGTCTGGTGGGTAGATTGTTGTGATATGGGTGAATTCTACTGATGCAAATAATAAGAGATCATGAGCTCTACAATTAGAACTCTACTAAAGTATCTGAAAGCTTGGATTGAAGCTGATATCTTGGAACCTTACCTTTAAAGTGAATATAGTTCACCATGACCATGATGGTATTCATCTTAAGCTCTTGGATTAGGTTCACAATTTTCCCTTTGGTTTGCTTTTCTACCTGAGAGTTGATCACTTCTTGGGCTGCAGATACATTCATGAAATCAGTAGAAATGACTTCAGTCTCATACAAGGTCTTGACAGCATCCAAGAACTTTGACAATGGTTTCAGCTGCTTGCCAATGAAGAGGGTATTTCCCATTTGCAATTCCAGTTCTTTCTTTGGAAAGTTTAGTGAACAAATTAGTTCCTGGAAATCCTGCTGTATCTCTTCTATTGAAGTGTCTGTGAGGTTGAACCCCAAGACTTCAAGGATCTGAGTTTGGGTGCTGGAGCGAGCTCCAATGGAAAGCATGGCCAAAGCTACAGAAATGCTCACAGGGGAAAAGAAGATGTTCTGATCTGGGGTCTCCATAGCAAACTTCCGGTACAGATTGAATGCAAAGTCAGCATTGATAGATGACATTTTATACAGTGTATCATTTTGTTGAGGCAAATGGCAGGTAGTTACTTTGCCTTCAGAGCGGCTAGGTAGTCCACCACTGATTTTAGCATGAAGCCCAAGTAAAATGCAAATCAGACAGTAGAAGAGTGACATTCTGGAATGAAGGTAATCTATAAGAAACAAAGTGAGAAAATCATTAGGATTTTCTTAGTTGAGTGAAATATTCTCGAATTCATACACATGAAATCACCCACTTTGATCAATAAAGCAACGGAAAATATTTGATAACGCATTCAACAAGGAATGGGTGAAGCTTTCATCTCCCTAAAAATTGATGCCACATCTACTGGGGATAGGAACTAAGAAAAACAATACTTTGGATTCTCATTAAGATGTAAAAACAAATGGAAACATTATGAGTAAATTTAACTTATGGAACTTAAATACCTTTTAATTTTTTTTTCGGAACCAGGGACTGAACTCAGGCCTTTGCACTTGCCAGGGAAGTGCTTATTCTACTGAGCCATCTCCTCAGACCCCTTAAATACCATTTAAATTTAAATAGTTACAACCTTTTTGATAAATGAAGAATATTTACTTGGAACTACCACTCTTGATGATTACACTATCACATGTGTGTTAGGATTTTTTGAATGTGTGGGTGTGGGTGTTAATTTGGCATTTTCTTCAGATAACATCTGTGACACAGAAGAAGACAACTACTTTCCTTAGCTAAAAGAAAAAAATGAGTCGACTTTGTGTAAGATATTAGTAGTTGCTACGGGAAGATAGAGTTTTACATAGCCAAGTCCAAAGTCATATGGTAAAATTTGTACATTTTTAAAAGGCATGAAAGCCACAAGACTGCTTTAAAACTATAAGAAAATGAAAGTATATCATGCTTTACATATCTCTGACCATCAGGATCACAATGATTTCTAAGTTGTAAGACATTTGAGCACTATTCTTACTCCCATGCATGTTATTTTTTAAGTATTACCAGAGCCAAAAAGCATGATATAAGATTTTCTGAATCAGGAAAAGTACAAGGAAACAGTATAAGGAAGACATGTGTGGAATCACCTTTAACCATTGACAAGTGGTTAGAAATCACACATGAATGCAGAACAAGGAGCCTTCCTCAGCCCTTCATTTTCTTCTTATTTATTTCATCCTTGGGATTCAATTCCTGCCTCATGATAATCTTTCTTGCTAGCCTATATTGTTCCCCTGAGTTCTTTCTTGTTATATTTTTTTTAAAAAAAGTAGAATTGATCCCAGGATCATTGAACTGAGCAATATACCCCTTACATATTTATTATTCAGTTATTTATTTCAAGAAAGGGTTTACCAAAGTAAGTTTCCCAGGCTGGGAGTAAGTGTGTAACATTTTTTTTTTCTGTTTTTGCGGAACTGAGGATTGAACTCAGGCCCTTGCACTTGCCAGGCAAACGCTTATTGTGATGAGCCATCTCCCTGGCCCGAAGTATGTAATATTTTTGCCTCAGCCTCTCAGAATCTGATAAGTGTAGGTGTGCTGCACCACCTCCAACTTTTCTTGTTTTTAATCTATCTATTCAGCTGCCTAAGTGTCAATGAGGAATGACCACTGATGCCTAATTGTTAAGTTGGAAATTGCAAAGTTTAAACATAAACACATCACCTTTCCACATCTCAACCCTACTCTTTTAACTTCATTCCCCTTCTCTGTCTCTTGCAGCACTGTCTATGGAGAACTTCAGGCCAAAAACCTAGAAATTCCTGAGGGCTTTCTGCATTCTCACTTACCACTTCTAATGAATCATCATGCCCGGTGATTGCTACCTGACTATTTATAAAAATTTCAGTATTCTGGCCATCAATACTGCTATATTGTGGCTGGGGAAATAGCTCAGTAGAATAAGTTCAATCCACAGTTCCACAAAAAAATACTGCTGTAGTTTTAGTTCATGGCCAAAATTACTGTATCAGCCCCTAGCAGGTCACATCTCCTACTTTCTCCATTGCATTCTCCCTTCTTTCAGCAGTATATTCAATCTCATTAATGTCAGCTGAATCTTCCTTCTGTAAAGGCCATCAAAGCTAGTTAGAAGTTGACAATAATTATCAAGTGACCACACTGAGACCTTCGCTCCTATATCTACAAACTTGGAGCTCACAATTATACGGGATTTTGGCTTGCTGATACATAGGTTCAAAGTTCCCAAAAAGACAAAAATACTTACAGCACATGCCCAAGAAGCCACTTGCATCTCTCAGAAAGCAACACATTTTTGTCTTTATAACATGCCCTCTATTGCAAAATCAGAGCACACTTAGTTACAAATTAACCCTCACATGTACCCTGGGATGATGTTTTCAAAGCTGATGCAGAGAACTAAGGCCAAGAAGATAAAAGCAAAAAAAAAAAGTAAGGTTTGAACTTTGGGTCATTACTGTGGCTGATATGTCCTTCATCATAAACAAAAGAAAGACAACTGTCAGAGCTGGTGGTGTCCAGTTTTATCCTAGAAGTAATATCTTGAACAGACAGAATGCAGGTGTGAGTAGAAGTGCTAAAAGGTGGCAGGAGAAATACAGTTTTCACCATCAGATCCAAACAGTGCTGATGTTGGACAGCCTTTGAGGGAAAGGTTAATTAACACAGCCAGAAATTGAGTGAGTCTCCATAATGGACTATATAGAAGTGATCTATATGCCAGTGAAGGACATGATGCCAGATATTTAGTTACATTTCTTTCATTGCTGATATAAAATACCCAACACCCAAAGTTAAATGGGGAAAGGTTTATTTAGCTCAGTTTGTAGATGTTTCAGTTCATAGTTCTCTGGCTCCAAGGCTTGGTGGCATGGCAGAGGGACATCACAGAGGAGAAACAGCTCATGGAACGTAAAAGGTAGAAAAAGCAGCAAAGAAGAAGACAAGCCTATTTCTGTCTCTTATATTGTATCCAGACATTGAGGTTACGGCTATGTAAAACCAATCAGTGACTGACTTAGCATTCACCCACCCTTAATCCTAGCACCTTTAATTTTTTTTATCAATTTTATTGAGAAACAAATAGCAGTGAGACAGTTTCAAAACCGATTAGTAGGACAGTTTCAATATTTAGTACACTGCATATTGTTGTCTTCATAGTGGTTATTCATAGCACCAGAGGCAGACATGATATTCTGTCCAAACACTATTAGTAATACCGAATCTTAATATGACACCATGAACCAATCGCACACGCTAGATTAAACTATGTAAGAAAAAGCCCCACGTATGACTGACTGTATGAGGCTTTAAGAGGACATCTAGATATAAGCCATGACATGAATATAGTTTCTTTTTTAAAACCTTTTGTTTATTTATTTGGTACAGGATCTTTATTTATTAAGCTCAGACTTGTAAAATCTGACATACCAATAATCTTGTGTTTTAAAAGTGGAAGAAAGTCCACTATGGGTTCCAGTGAGAGAAAAATACAGTTTCCATATCTGCTATGTGTTCCCTTTTCCCTTACATTACCCTACTTGATATTCATTCTTCCTCACCCAATGTCTTTCAGGTTGGAGAGCTATATTACCCACTAAGAAGAAATGTATCAAGATTATATTTACCATATCCTACAGGAGTACAACATCAAAATTCTATTATAAATCCCTTTCCCAGATAGAAACTTTCTTGTCTTCTTTTGCTGATATAAAAATATATCCTTGGCAGAAAAAGTAGTGTTTCAACTTGATTTGGTTTTGGGATCTTCCCTGGTGACAAGTGGAGCCTACTTCCAGATATGTTGCCCTTGATCATGAAGGCATGACCTGGCGGTCTAGGTCTGGTCCCTTGCCCTTTTCACTCTTGCAGTCTTCCCCTGCTCTGACTACTGGCTGTCTATGCTGAAATCAGCAGCAACATTGCTTCAGCATGCCCTTTCACTGTTATGCCTTTGTCATGTGGCCAGCCAATCAAGAACTGAAACTGTAAGCAAATTAAATTTCTCCTTTAACTATGGGTTTTCTGTATTAGGTCTCACCAACAAGAATCCCTGATAAATATAATGCCAGTAAATGAATATTTTATAATTCAATATTTACTTGTACTTCTGCCATCTGGGAATTGCAAGATTACCCTACCAGTAGTTTTGATGACTGGGAAGGGCTACTCTCTGCTTCCATGCCTATCTGTTGAATCCTTCAGAAGAGATAGAAAATTACTTCCTTTCTTAGAAGAAGGTATTAACTTACCCTCTAAAACCTTTGGTAAAGGCATTAATCCATTCATGAGGAGGAAATTGTTATGGCCTAATCACATTAGAAAGTCCCAACAGCTTAATACTGAGGATTAAATTTAAACATGAATTTTAGTAAAAAAACAACTATTCAATACAATTTTGAGACTCAAGAATGTCCTTAAACACCAAGCACATCATGAAAAGAGAAAGTGAAAACTGAGCTTTGTGCTCTAGGATCTGTGGTCTATCTTTTGCTTTCTGCCTTAAATAATCCCTACTTCTTCCTAAGACAATCCCACCTACAGTGACCACTCCTGTTACTTTCAGCTGCAGCGTTTTCACAGGCAATATGTTAAGCATAAATATGCTTAAGTAATGGATCCATTCTACATTTCATCTTTTCCTTCAATGTAACTCAAACTCTCTTCTTTCCAGTTATTTTTGACACATATTTTTCAATCTCTGCCAATGTTTTCTTGAAATGTATTTGGTTGTTACAGGGTCTCATCTCACTAAACAGCCCGGACAAGTGGTGATCCTCTTGCTTTTAGCCTCCCCAGAGCTGGGATGAGAGGTGTGCAACACTATCCCTGTACTCCAGCTGGCTCAGTCCTCCCTGGAGGTTGGGCTGGGATGGCATGTGGTGCCAGGGATCAAATGGTAGTTCCTTTGCTTGCCTCTTCTTACCTAAGCAGGTACTTTAGTCCACTGAGTTATCACACTGGCCCATGTGTCAATGTTTTTGATCAATGGTGTAGGGGCTGAGGTGAAGGAAAGGTATCATGGGCCCCTCCTGTTCATGAATATTTCTTTGTATCTGCCTAAATACTTACACTTTCTATGTTCATTTTAGTATTTATTTCAATGTTCTATGACATAACCATGCTGCCCTCTTGAAAGCTTGACATTAGGCAATATGTGTAACCTCTAAATTTAGTTGGTTTTATTGTTATATTTTTTATGTTATGGAGAAGAGTAAAACAATTTTTATAACAAATAATTTTTTTTTAAATTTTATTTATTTGAGAGAGAGAGAGAGAGAGAGAGAGAGAGAGAGAGAGAGAGAGACCAGCTCAGCCCACCAGGGGGCGGGCTGGCTGGCATGTGGTGCTGGGGGATTGAACCGCGGTCCCTGATGCTTTGCTAAGCTTGTTCTAAGTAGGTGCTTTAGACCACTGAGCCATCTCTCCAGCCCCAACAAATAATTTTTATAACAAAATAAAGAGAATAACAATAGTTAAAACAATAGTTAATACATTATATATTGTTATCCTAAAGATGTTACTCACAGGAGAAAATATCAGCATAAAAATTATTCAACTGATGTTAGCACAAATCTTTTCTTTGAGGGGCAGGCAAGATATCTCAGTTGTCAAAAGCGCTGGCTTAGGCAAGCTTAAGAAATGTGCAGGACCGTGGTTCAAACTCCGGCACCATATGCCATGCCAACCCTGCCCCCAGGGTGTGCGGAATCAGCGGAGGAAAAAATAAAAAAAATAAACACCTTTCCTTTCAATGAACTAACAGACACTGGTAGTATAGTTAAGTTGAATTTTTTTGCTTTTCCACTCCTTCCTTTCCCCTTTCACCCATATAGTTCAAAATGTCACATTTTTAATTAATTTAATATACAGTTTTTCTAAAATAATTTTAGATTTATAATTTTTCACTAAAAATATTAAAAGTGTTTGATTTCTCCACATTGTTAAAATTATTTAGATGTGACATTTTAGCTTAATGTGGTTGAATGCAAAAGAAAGATCACTCAGGTAATCCTTTTTAATGCCTTCTGTTGTTGTCTCTTAAGGGTCCCTCTTTTTCTGTGAAATTTTGGAAGTTGGATGTGAATTTATCATGTTGATTAATCTTTGCAAGTCCTGATTTTGATACTCCTTCAACTTCAACCCCTTGATTTGAATGTATCCATTTCAAATATTCACTGTCTTTGCTAGATAATTTTTAAATTAATTTTACTGAGAAAGAAGCAACAATGAGACAGTCTCAAAACAGGTTAGTAGGACAGTTACAATGATTAATATAGTGCATATTGTTGTCTTCATAGTAGTTATTCATAGTACAAGATGCAGACATGATAACTTGTCTAAATGCTATTAGATGAAAACTTTCTTCTCATTGAACTAATAGAAAGTAGCTGTATATCTATGCTACTTTGTTTGTACATCTTTTTTTTCACTACAAAATGCTGCTTCCTTCATATCCCCCTTTTTTGTTCGGTTTTGTCAGAGATTGATATTCCACTGCATTCAAATATTGTAGGTGTGTGACTTCAGCAAAATAATCCCATCTCCCAAGTAAATGATTATTTTTTTAAAAAGTAATAAAAGAAAACAACAGAGAAGAGAAAGATGTCATAGGACTGTCCTGGTACAATGTCATATATGGATAGATTTCTAAATTTCTGTGTAAGAACTAAAAAATATTAGGGTCCAAAAGTTTAAAGACCTAATCCAAACAAGGGTATGTTAGATGAACACTCACTTCTCAGAGGAAGAAATAGAAGCAGCAAATAAATGCTTGAAAAAATGTACCACATCACTAGCCATACATGAAATTCAAATTAAAACAATGCTGAGATATCATCTCACCCCAGAAATAATGGCTATCATAAAGAAATAGACCAACAATAAATGTGGGAGATGCTTCCAGGAAAAAAGGAATCCTTCTCCACTGCTTGTGGGAATATAGACTGGTGCAACTATTATGGAAATCAGTGTGGAGATTCCTCAAAATTTAGCACTAGAAATCCTACTCAGTCCATGTATTCCTCTTCTTGGAGTTTTCCCAAAAGAGCTGAAAAGATAATATCATATTGATATATGTGCACCTATGTTTACAGCAGCACCATTTGTGATAGCCAAATCCTGGAAACAACCAAAATGCCCATCACCTGAGGAATGGATGAAAAAGATGTTGTGTTTTTATAGAATAGAGTATTACTCAGTTGTGAAGAAAAATAAACTCGAAGCTTTCATATATAAGTGAATGCAACTTGAATACACACTCATAAGTGAAATAAAACAGACCCACAAGG